TGTGCTTCTTTTTTTTTCATTCCGTTTTTTTTTAACATGATTCTGTTGCACCACAGATTCTTTTTGAACTGCCTAAAACCTGCCTCTCTATCCATAATCCCTGCTCATGGATTATGGATAGAGGGTGGAATATTTACAAGAGTGAGTTTATTGCTGCAGCACAGAGAATAAAATAGCCGCATCTTTTCTTCTGACGTATTTAAAACAGCTTTTTCAAAAGTAACAGTGGATAAAGAGAATGTATTGATCCCACGTAGTCGAACTTACTGCTGGGCGTTTGCAGACAGAAGCGTGGCAGCCTCCATCAGTGTTAATGATGACAAATAAGTGGGCTGATGAATTTTCATTATGATCGTATTGAGATGTGAAAACAGGAGAGGAGTTTATATCCAGGCAGTTTATGAGACTGGGGAGAAAGAGTGATTACAAATGAAGCCTCCCTTGAAAACAATCCTGATGAAAACGCTGTCATGTACATGGTCCGCAAATGAGATGAAAACGACTGCAGTTTCAACTCAATGCTGCTACTGAATGTGTGATTCTGTGCTTTTATTCTCAGGCGGAAGAGAGTGGAGAAAGCTTTGCGAATGAATAACAAAACGACCTTCTCATTAAAAGGGCTTTACAAAGTTAATAGCAGTAGCGGTGCAATTCTTTTTTTTAACCAGAGTCCTTGTGCTGTGCTCTGGTGGTTGGTGGTCAGTGGATCCACCCTGCTGCTGCTGCTGCACCATATGTCCTGTATTTGATATGGTTTTAAAGTAGCACTGGTTTCCCAAAGCCTCCTGGCACTTTAATAATGTCATTCTGAGCTTATTGTAAAGTTTTCCCAAAACCAAGAACAGGAAGCAACACTGCTGTGCAACAACATGGCAAAAACCAAATAAAGAAAAACCTGGTTAAGGGCTGGTAAATATGGCTTTCAGTGTTTATCATAATATCTCGACAAAATGGAAAATATAGGGCAATACAGTCGAACAAGAATTATACACTGTACTGACAAAATAAAATTAATATAAATTTATAAATTTTTTAGGTTTTTCTGAATTTATTTTGAAAAACATTCACTTCCCTTGTGCTCTCAGAGCTTCCAAAATTACCACCCAAAAAGGTCATAAAATGAAAGTGCATAATAAAAACATAATATTGGCATTATGTATGTAAATTAAATTGCCTGATTTTTGTACTTTTCTGTTTTCATATGTGTCCCTACACCACAAACCCTGCCCTTATTTTGTTCCGTGGTTTGATTTCTTTCGATGTTGAATTACAAATATTTACTTTATAATATTCATTCTGTGTGGCTGTGTGTGTGTGGTTGTATGTGTGTGGTTGTGTGTGTGTGGCTGTATGTGTGCGGTTGCGTCTGGGAGTAAAACAAGATGAGACAAACATTTACAGCAGTAGCCCCGTTGAAAAGAACACAGATGAGTCACCTTTACTGCTCAGTGCCAGCTACTGGCTAAATGATGCGCACACTTGGACGACAACACGTGTAGACTGATGGCTGTATACGCTGAGTGCATTTGTAGAGGGAGAACTGAGAGAATGTTCTGTTGATTTTAGAGGCAGGGCTCAAAACAGCTGTGCAGTGACAGAGCAGAATTGGAAATGCGGCGTGACAGCAGAAGAGTGATTTTTTTATTGATCACAACTGACAGGCGCTGCTGAAGCATCAAATGCCACACGGTAACATTTGTATCGTCATACTTGTTGAGACCTCCAGACTTATTAAGGAGGTGACTTCTCAGACTATGATCTCACAGAGGCAGTCTGTGTTTACTCTGTGCAGCATTTTCTTACAATACGATATAAGAGCTACATACAGTAGTACTGTACACACAAACGCAAAGCTGGGGTATACAGTTTAAAAAAGAAATGCAAAATCCGGCCACTCTTGAAAAATCCAAACACTACATTCCACACACACCCATCACCCTCTTCACAGATCGGCTCTGAAAACACATGAACCCACACAGTCTGCAGGACATCAAATTAAGGAAAACACTGCAGTGACAGGCTAATTCATATTTATTACAACATGCCCGAGTTTCCCCACAGATACTGTTAGGTATTATCACTAGTGCCGTGTGGACTTTATTTTAGGATGTGTGATTTGAACGGTGGCAAAAACGATTTGACTAAATCATGCATAAAATTGTACTGAAGTTGTTTTTAACATCTGACCAGTTTTAAAGGTCCACAAATGTTGTTGTGTTAAATAAGTATTACAACATAATGATCCCACACAGCTGGTGTTGCCCTGCTGGTTGTGAGCAGTGTTAGAAAAAAGCAAACAGCCGGTGTGTTTATGGACTACAGTTTTTTGTCCTTAAACATGCTCAGAATATTATCACAAGTACAACGCAACATCAATTAGTCAGGTTTGTCCTCCACCTGCTGTGGCAATGGACTTTAGAACCCCGGAAGTTGACAGAAATTGCCTTACGCTTTGAACAGAATTCAAAGCTTTTCATTGGTTGATTTCAATTCACTAACTTCGCTCATAGCACAGATAACACTATTATTAATGACTGCACGACGAAACCAAACACTCATTGGACTTGCAAAAAACCAAAACAAGGGCTTTCATCTGTCTATTTTCTTGCAGTACATCAACAACCCAGTAGGAACTCCATAAAACAGAATAATTCAAAAATTCAAAAGATTTTACCCCAAAAGTCATGGAGAAATAATGAGAGCCCAACATCCTGCTGTAGCCTAGCCTCTTCTCTCGGAGAAGGTAAATATTTAGTGAGGAGTGTGATTGCTGCTGGCCATGGCCTATTCATCGCCGTCACAGAGTAATAATGGAGAGCTGCGGACACTGATGTCAGTGAGGGAAAACCCGAGGAAGAACATACTGCGCAGTGAAAGGGTGTTTGCATTGCTCCTCTGAAATTGACTCCAATTCTCTCTCGTGTGCAAAATCAGTCGTCTAAGGTTGACCTTGTGATCCACGGAGGTGTTGTAACAATAGCAAGTATTAACTCTGAACTCTTTCTTTGGGTCCCAAAAATGAACAGTGTGAGAAAATAAGACCTGCCCTAAATACAGCAGTATGAAACAGACATGTATTTTTAGTTTCTATTTTCCATTCAGACATTTGGGTAGTTGAATGAACTCTTATGGAACTGCGCCAGCAAAGTGTTCCTCTCTAAAGACGGATTGCCTTTAAATAGTGATGTGAACAACGCCAGGTGATATTTCTGTAGTTTTACCAGAGGTCAAAACCCCCAGGAAAATCCTTCATTGCTCCTGCAGGCATAAGGTAAATATACATCTGTGTAAACACCGGTGAGTGACAGTCCAAATAGGCGTCAAGGGAGCACAATGTGCAGCCATAGGTGGATAAACTTGTGTCAGGGAGAATGAAGCCTGTGTTTGCCTGGCAGGCAGAAGAACAGGGAACATGTCCTGCTTACAGGGTCAATGGGAGCAGTTTCAAAACCCTCTTTGTGCTGTCTGGCCTGCATTACAGACAAGGCAGATAATGAGGTATAAATGTGAACTGGGGCGCAGTGAAGATATACACACAGTTAAAGAACTCAGCACGGCCCAGGGGAGTCCAACAAGCCAGCTGTCTCAGCTTCTGTTTCCCTGGGGCCAATTTCTCTACAGACAGTCCACCATCAAGAGGCGTGATTGATGTCAGCTACACTGGCTGATGCTCTTGCTTTCATTCCTAAAACAAGATACAGATTAAATTAAGAGATTATGAGCTAGACTCTAGGGCTCTCTCTCTCTCTCTCTGTATTTGTGTCGAAATGTGTTACTGAAAACCTGGATGGGATCTAGATGTTATTTTAGACTTAATTTAAAAAGGACTTTAGAGATGTTAGCGTATACCAGTGATTCCCAGTCAATCTGCTGCGGCACACCAGCGTAGCACGAGAGCAAGTATTATTTATCTACAGCAAATAATGTGCACTGTCCATGTGTTTCTATATGCAAGTGACAAGGTAAAACAAAAAACACTCTTCCAGTAGGTGGCAGAACATGGCTACAATAACTATATAAAAGATAGGCTAAGAGGTTTTGTGTGTGACTTTTTTCATTTCTGCTTGGTTTTTAGCATTGTGTTCAACTAAACAGGCACAGCCTTCACTGGCTAAGTGTAGTGTGAGTAAATAGAATCTAAAAGACCGTTATTTAATTACATATACTTTTGGGATATTGTTTTGTTTGGTGGTGTGCTGTTGGAGTTTTCTGATGTCACAAAACAAAAAGTGAATACAAATTAAAATAACAAAATTCTAACTTTGATGCTAATACATAGCTTTTCAGATTTTTTAAACTTGTGATAAAAAATGTAGAAAGCTCGGCCTATTTTTTTTCATGTTCGTATAAAGAAGACCTTTTTATCCATCCAGATATTCTCAATAATAGATGCCAAACTCTTTGTATCAAAGAAGAAAGAGTCCTATTGATGTTGTTTTAATTACACAGACAAAGCACTGTAATATTTCTCATCATTTGTAAGATATTTAATTTGAAATGTCAGTTTAAAGGTCATAATAATGAGATGTCTGTTATATCAAGATATAAATGTCATAATTATGACAATCATTCTGATTATAATCATAATTAATTATAAAGAGAAATGCATGTTACAATAGTTTATTCATAATGATTTTTCAAATATTCTTCTCTGCTCATGCACATTTGGTATCGCAATATTCACACGTAATAGGGTTAAAACTTTTTACTTCATAATTTTAAACGTCATTCTATGGTCAGGTTTCTTTAAAAAAAAAGGTGCAAAAAACAACGCTTATTTTGACTTATCTATGGTGAGCATTCCATCATTTTCGATTTTGCAAAACGTCTGAATTATACCATACCATTTCGACTTATTTGCAAAACATCTGAATTATACCATACCATTTCGACTTTTGTGCCTTAAATTTAAATTATTCGAATCCAAAATAAATATTTGCGTGAAGGTGAAAAAACCTGTCAGTTGAAATAAAATATTATTATGACACCGGATGTGGCATTGCAGTTAGAGTTGAATCACATTAGGGTCAGCCCTGACCCAGCAGGGAGGGACTTTCAGATTCTGGACGATCACATGCGCAACAAGTCGGTGGAAAGTGGTGAGAAAAGGTGTGTGCTGAAGTGGGTGACAGAGGGAGCAGTCTCGGTGTTTCTACACTCGCACGTGGAAATTATTATGAACTGATTACATGGAGAATAAGACGGCTGTTTTGACCAGAGGCGTTCCGCAGTAGAAAAAAAAGAAAAAAATGAAAATCAAAGTTGACTTGTCCTCGGTGCAGACCTCAAGTGAGACTGACAACCTGGTGGACACTGGACAGAACCACGGAGATGTTTACAGCAGCGGATTTTAACTTTTTCACAGACACTGACGCCGGGAGTTGTTAGCAGCAGGTGAGGGGAGACAGCAGTGAGAAGTCAGCCTGCTCCTCACAGCGAAGGAAGGTAAAATGAAACGATCCCGGTTTGCAGAGACTGCAAGAACTTTACTCGGAATGACGTCGAATTGACAAGCGTCTCATATTCTACCATGAGAGTTCTGCGTTTGCTTTGGGTCCTCGTCCTGTGGGAAACTAGCCTGGGCAACGGAAACTGTCCGAACCTGATCGTGGACAGCTGTCACTGCTCAGCTGAGAGACCCAAGGAGCTGAGCCGGCAGCAGCCAGTCCGGGTCAAGGTGGTGTGTGATGATGTGGACCTGATGGACACCCTGCAGCCCAGCTTCCTGCCCAACACTACGGTCTCCCTGTAAGTGACTCCTGTTCAATAAACAACTTCTTACCTCAACTTACAAACATACAAAGTTTGCTTAAAAAAACAACAACAACATATAAAATTATTTGCAAGTTCTTTAAAACATAATCAATTAAATCATGCATCCCAAAAACTGGGTTGGACCCTCAGGTGGGTCGCAAGAAATTTTTCTTGGGTCGTCTTGTATTATTAGTTTCCCAGGTGTTTATGAGTGATGTTTATGAGTGACTTGGGTCACAAAGGTTTGTGACCTTTAAAATATGGGTCCCCAGAAGAAATGTTTGGGAAATACTGACTTAAATACCCCACAATGAGAACACATTAAATTTCCAAACTGTAATATTCACTCATTTTGAAGTTTCTGCCTGGTTCTAGCCATTAGTTTCTCAACCTGATCCTGAACTACACTGCCCAAACACTAATGTTTTAATGGTTTTTCTTTTTTCTGTTTAGTTGAACATAACCCTGATAAATATGAATGTTTTAAAAAGACAGTCAATCATATTCTTCAACAGCTGAGTCTCTGTGTGATGCAACGATTACAATGTTTTCCTCTCTGATATCCAAATTGTTATTGTGTAATTGCCAATAATAATTCACTTCAGTTGACAGCATGTACATAGAAAGATAACACAACGTGACAGGTTTATCAAATACATTTAACAGATTTCTCCTTTGCAGGACTTTTATAGTTATTCCTTTTTCTAGAGCCTGTAAGTGGCTGAGGTCTTCTTATTTCCTTTATTTTTTCTTCTGTTAGATGTTTCTGTAATGACCAATCTAATCACCGCCATTCTAATTTAATTTCCAAACGTTTTAACCTTTTTTTTTTTTTTTTTTACCCAGAGTCACGTCCGTAAACCAAACTTCATGGTGATTCTAGTTGCGTTTGAGTAGACTTCTCCATTCCCCCTCAGTCTTGGTGATATCCTTTTGTCACACATCAACCATGACACTTGTCTCCATCCTTCAGCCTTCCTCTTCCTCACCTCTTCTCTACACACTGCGTTTCACCCCAGACTCTGTTATACTGCCTGTGACTAATCTGGAATGGAAGTCATTTTACAGACGTTATAAACTTTTTTTTTTGTTACATCCGATGCATTTCCTGATATATCCCTCACTGGTTTTACCAGGCTTGTGACCAGCACTAGATAACATGTTACTTTAGTGTTGTTTAAACAATAAGATTTTGTAGGATAATCTCAAATTAACTCTTGATTTCTATCAAAAAGTGAAAACTGATAAGTGTTTAACTTGACGTTTTGCTTTAATTCATGTTTTCTGTAACTCATATATTGTTTGCCTGTATGCAGATTATAATGTGAGTACTGTCAATGGTTCCTGTTGCTATGTCTTTAACAATTGCTAACCACAAATAGACCAAACATTTGCTGAGAGGCAAGTCTGAACACATGTATTAAAAAATCCTGTTTACATCAGCCCAGTGGGATGGCACTTCAAATTCTGCAGTTTAAGTATTTATTGTCTGTCAGACGTTGTTCTCTGATAAACAGCAATTTTAAACAAGAGAGGTAATGTAGTGGGAGAGACTCGGTGGGGTACATTTATCAAATTAAATTGAAGTGCAGAGTTATATAGCACTTTTATATTATTTAGGGTAATGCCCTGTTTTATAAAACGGTACGAGCATTTATTGTTGTTGCACTTTTACATCCTAAGTGCTCCTTCAAGCCTCTTCTCAAACCTCTGTTTCTGTGTAAGCTAAGCCACACTTAAGCTCAATCTGTCCCTAAATGTTTCCAAGTCTGCATCTGCATAAATTGTCCGCCTTTTGCTTCCTGATCTTTGGGGAAGTTGTTTGCTTTGTATTTAAATATGAAGCCTCTGACAGATGGGGGAAAAAAAGAAACACTTCATCGTGGAGTTCATTCACTATTCCTTCATTTTCACTTTCAGACTGTTGAATTTTATTTGAGGTGTCCCTTTTGAATAAATGTACTTTTTACAAGTGATAGCAGACCGTAAATATAATATAAATATAATTCTGTAGTGTGTAGCAGTGACCATACACACACACACACACACACATATATATATATATATATATATGAATATGAATTTGGTTGTTTTGTGCCATGGAGCATTTAATCAGTACTCCAACATATAATGTATATGTGAAGTATGTTCAGGTTATATCAGTTTTCAGTGTATGTTGATCACTTTAGTCTGGTCATGTTAATTGTAGCTCCTAAGCCAAAAATGTTATATAATCTTTCTTTCTTATCACCATCACAGTGCTTCATATTCCAGAGCTAAGTGAGCTATGCCCTGAACCTATGTAAAAGATGGACAGGAAACAGTTTTCCTGCTTTAGGAAATGTGACCTTTGTCAGGCTAAAGTGTTCTGCCTGTGTGCTCTTTTGTGTATGCACTCTGCAAATAAACAAATATATGAAAGGAAGTCTGCACATGCCAGAATAAGTTTGAAATACGTGTTAACACAGATGAAAATGACTAGTTTTATTAATATATTTATGTGAGTCTTTCCTGGATTTTTGCTCCTTGGAACGTTCATAAAAAGAATAGCATGCATCACACTAATAACATGTGAAAATAAGTTCACACTTTAGCTTTTGTTAAATGATAATTTAAATGATAATTAATCATAACAAGTTGAACACGTCTGACTGCTTTCACGGACTGTCCGTGGGGAACGGGCGACAGCTCTGTTGACCTTGATGCCTCATGGTGTAATCATTTCTTCAGCTGAGTCAACCTCTGTCTGCAGCGGTGGCAGCTCAGAGTCTCAGTGACACCTGTCTCCTGCAGTGGTCTAATGGGAGGACACGCTGCTCCTCCTGAGGGAGAGGAAGAACAAATTGTGAGATGAGGGCACGGAGTTGAGTTGGTGAGTGGACACTGAGAGGCAGTGGGAGAGCCTTTCAGGAGGCGAAAGGATCGGCAGAGAGGATAGTAGAGAAGTGGGAGTGGGAAGTGTTCGGTGACTCAAGAGTCACTTCATTCTGACGCACGCGATGTACAGGTATTGCTGGGAAGTGCGTGTCATCTGTCACGGTTTGTTGTGACTGAGCACCGGGCCTCTGCTGAAGGAGAGCACATACAGAAGGACACGGACTATCTGCCTCAGTAGATGGAAACGCACAGTTTGCACTTTATCTCGGTGCTGACCCGTGCTCGACAGCTTGACTTGCAACGAGCAACTGTTGTTTGTAGTGTAACAGTAGTAGCTTCTGACACCCAACAACTTGACTTCAGCCTCTACAGTTATTATCTTTAATATGAAGGAGAATCCGCTCTCTTGTGCAGAAATGTTTATACAGAACAGAAAATTAAATCCTAGTTCCTAATCCTTAAATCCTACAAATAATATTAATTTGATGTTGTAAATGGTAAAAACAAAAGCTGCCTGCTGAATTTAAAGGTTGACTAGAACAGAGAAATTTGACACCAAGTTTTGTTGTGAATTTAACAGACCTATTCATTGTGTTGGAGTTATCCAGTGATATTGTATTCTTGACTTCATGAATTTTTTATCAGTCGTATATTCAGCGTAGGACTTCAACAGAAACACCACTCAGGTAAAGGAATCAATACCCAAAGAGAAGGTGTAGATGTAACATTTCTAATTGTTATCATTGTCTTCTTCTTTTGACCGCTGCCTTCAGGGGTCGCCACAGCAGATCATCTTCCTCCATCTTGCCCTGTCTCCCTGCCTCCAACATTGGCATCTCCAACATTTTTTGTCCCTTATCCATTATCTGTTCTCAGCACATGTCCAAATCATCTCCACCTCACCTCAAAGCAGCAGGTTTCATGAATGTTTCATAAACCTTGTGCTTCAACTTTGCTGCCAAAGTGAGTCTATATAAATAATTAGAATAAAAAAATAAATAGGAAGAGAATATGAGACACTGTTTTGTTTATGTGTTTTATTTTATAAAGTTCATTTCAAATGGACATCATGTTAGGCTAAGGTGCTCACAAGCGTAGACATCGAGACCCTTATGTTGTTTGTTTTAAATCTGACCATTTCTATTCTGTTTTCTGGGCTCTGTCATTTTCTCAACTCAATAATCGTGTGGTTTTTGGTTTGGGTATTTTGTGGGCTCAACAGTGACTCGTTGTTGGTCTCCGAAGGTCTTCTTAGCTGTGACTTGAGTCGTTTGTAACCAAAGCAATTTAAACTCAAATAAGCTTCACCTCCCCCTTGACTCCTATCAGGAGTAGAGCCTTAGAAGACGAATGAACGAAAGCATGATTGGATTTAATTTGTGGAAGAGAGAGAAAAAAAGAAGAAGTAATTTAGGGTTGGGTTTGAGTATAGAGGTTTTGGAATGTACTCACTCATCTGGTGATTAATGACAATAATGATGATGATGTGTTTGCGTCGGACTTCAGGGAATATTTTTATTGTGTCTCGTGAAACGTTGAGGAAGAGATGCTGCTGTTGGCTTTATACCACTGCAGATCACGTCATTCTTAATGTTAGTGTCAAAGATGGAGCTTTAGGGATTGTTGGCGGAACAGGTATTGTTGCGGGTAAATATCATCGCTCAACTCTGTCAAAGATGCCAGGTGTTTGTTTTGTTTTTTTTTTTTACTGATAATTCACATGTGAACAGACAAATGAGTCAGTGAGTCACTACCTTTATTTCATTCCCCTCACTTTACCATACATGGCTGTCATCTGTTATTCAATGGCATTCTGTCATCTTCTTGTGGTGTTGCTCCTTTGGGGCTCTTGTCTGTCTGCTGAGATGCTGTTTGTGATCTTCCCAGCCTTTGAGTTTAACGTACCTCCACATTAATATTTCATAGAAACGCACACATACATTACTTCCATGTATTTACACTGACAACAACCTGTGAGTGTGAACAGCAGTTGTTACTCTGGAAATGAAGTGTGAACTGCACACACCAATTAACGTATGGAGATTTGATCGGGTGAATTGTAGCATTGATTGTGGTGAGATGTTATTGTCAGTAACTTTTGACTGATGACTTCTCTC